CAAGTTTTTTAAAGATTTTTACCCAAAATAAAAGTTTAAGGGCATACATCCTCCTTGGTGACAACTTCAGGGGTGATTTTGCCCCTTTTCCCTTTTTCCTTCTTTTTTTTTCCTTGGATTTGGGTTGCTGGTACGTATAAGTTAAGAGGAGTTATCCACTTTTTTAGCTACATAAGAGTCTCTTTGTTTAATAAACTTCAGCTCCAGTTCCAATTATCACATATGGGCTGCTAAGTTCACAAGATTTGGCCTTCTTTGCAATTTTTCCACTTAAAATGAGCCATCGATTTGAAACTCCGCTTAAGACAACTCCATCAACTTGTCATCTTCACAATTTCGCCCAAATAATTCTCAAATCCTTCAATTAAAGCCTCACCTGTAAAAATCATTTTTATCACAAAATATAACTCAAACCTCTCAATTAGGCAAATAATGAGCGTATAATTGTAATAAAGTAATATAAAAATGAAGTGCAAATTCTTGCTCATCAATCATCATATACCAAAAGCACTACATATTATAGAAATTTATGAAATATTATCAAAGACTATGAAATATTCCCGTTCAATCTATTCTTTCCTTATAGAATGTGAATTTCTTAAGTCTAACTGTGAAATATTATTTCAAGGAAAAGGCAATGCATATAACATATATGTGACTGTTTTTAGCAAGTTTGACTATCAACGTATGGTTGATGAATTCAAATTACTCACCGTCTTCAAAACAGAACTAAATAGACCGACTCGAAGTGTAATGATTCACTCAGTAACAATTTTATTTCATCGTCTTCCACTCTTCATTGCTTAATTGCATAATTCCGTTTTAATTTACTTTCTACCGTTAGATTGTTAGTGCTTTGAGTTTTTTTTGTTCATACAGAGTATATCTTTTGAATTGCAAGAACTTTGCTATGCAGGCCGAGTTATTATTATGAATAGTGTGATCTTTTGATTCACATGTTTATCAAAATTCATATTTACATACCATTTTTTAAATATATCGAGTATAAATATATCAAAATAGATAATTATATCAGAATAGACCAACTCAAAGTTTTATTCTATTAGAACTATTAGATTTTCATTTCCTGATTTTTTATATATCAAACCAGTGCACATCAAATCATAAAATACTTTAAGAAAGTTTTCTTAAATAAATTTAGTATTTTTAGATTTTCCTCTTCCATGGTCTGATTTTGATTTTAGAGACCGTTTAGAATCTTAAGAGCAGAAATTAAGTGCGTAAAGTAAATAACACCGGGGTTTTATAGTGGTTCAAGGAACAACGCGTTCCTCTAGTCCACTGTTCCACTAAGCTTGTAAGTCAATAATTACAACGCCTTAGTCCTAGCACTTAAGAAGCACTCCACGTCTTCTTCAAGCCTAGTTGTCACCCGGGATGCTTTTCCTGGCTTCCTGATGACTGGTCTCGTTTCACTGAGTCTTTAGAAGTATCCCCACTTCTCTGCTCCAGCTAGTTTGAGACGTCCTTTTTTTTCAAGAAGTGTTTTCAGTTAGGAACTGTTTTCAGTTAGGAACTGTTTTCTCCAATCGTTGCTTCGTTACAAAAGATGTGTAGTTGAGGTTCTTGAAGCGTTGAAGAACTGGAGGAACTTTGCTCTGAGTTGGAAGAAGAGATATGAGAATATTATCTTTCCAACAAAAGCTTTTCTTGTTGAGTAAGACGAGGTTGAGGTCTCAAGAAAACTTGAAGGTTTGAATGTTGTGAGAGCAAAAGTTATCATGTAGTTATTCGAAGTGTATCTTATATACTGGGAGCAGTCTTCCCGTTGGAGTGTAGAAGACAACTTCATTTAATGCTTGTACAGTTGATTTGACCGGTTGGTCCTTCAACTTGCTATTTTAAGGGCGTAAGGATATCCGCAGGGTCAATCATCAGATTTAAATATCTCAACGTACGAACAACATTAATTGACCATTTAATGCGTGAATAGTACTACCTCCGTCCCTTAAAACTTTGTCAAGCTTGGCCGGCAAGTGGATTAATAAAGTAAAAACTGTGTGGTTGAGGTTTGTGCAGAGGAGAGAGAATGAATTGGAACCACAAATTATTTACTTAAAAGGGAAAGTGGCAAAGTTAATGGGACATCCAAAAAAAGAAAGTTGGCAAAGTTTTAAGGGGCGGATGGAGTACCATGTTCCGTTGAGTGGCTCCTAGCCGTTAGGGCATTTCCCGTTAGTTTCACGGTTGTTGGAAGTAACACCGAAATCTTCCAAGTGCCCATCATAGTCTGATGAGATTCTCTGATAGCATCTATGGTGGCTTCCCTGAAGAGCAGCTCTGGCAGGAACTCGGATCAGGAAGTCCAAGAGGGTCTCCGGCTAGTCGTCTATGCTAATACTTACAAAGAAAATTCTAATACAGGATTTCTAAAGGGGTACTCTGATATTCTAATTGACCTAGCATCATCAAAATCTAAGTACATTTATTCCTTACAATATGTGTGATTGATTTTTAAGTACAAGGGCCTATGTGATGTTTTTGAAATAGTAGATGGGTTCATATGACCCCTTTTCCTATTTCGAATTAAAATGTAAATCTTGAGTCAAGTAAACTGCTAAAGTGCGTAGTATTACTTATTAAACAAATAAATTAGTAAGGTAAAATGGTAAATGATAGTTGTATATGATAACTTGAAAGTTTTTAAATGGTAGGCTCATAAATTGTTCAAAACATAAATAAAAAAAAAAACTAAAAAGTTAAATAAAAAACTTAAACAATACACATAAATGACAAACAGAAAAAGATTAGAAAGGCAGAAAAAAGTTAATAACATTTAATAGCTTTAGATAGTTCAAAACAGAAATTTTAAAAAACTAAAAAGTTAAATAAAAACTAAAACAATAAACATAAATGAAGAACAGAACTATCATACAGGTTGGAGAAAAATTAATACCATTTAATATCTTGAAATAGTTCAAAATAGAACTTTTAAATAACTTAATAATTAAATAAACAACTTTAACAATAAACATAAATGATCAACAGACAAAAATTAGAAAGGCTGGATGAAATTTAATACTATTTAATAAATTTAAATAGTTCAAAACAGAGCTTTTGAAAAACAAAAAATAAATAAATAAAAAGAGAGAAAGAGAAGACCTTGGGCGGTGGGATATTTTATACGGAGTACTTACATGGATGAACATATGAAGCAGGGGAGCTCAACTGAGACAGCTGAGGCTGCTGAGCAACTCTTCTTCAATCAGACGGTGTTTCTTGTTTGTTGGTATCGTAGAAGGATGATCTAGGGTTGTGGCTAAGGAAAGCATGCACACAACCCATTTATTTTGTATTTTAGGATGAAAAAAAACGAGGCCCCCATTATTTTAAAAAATAAGCCCAAATTGTGTAAAATTTGAGGCAACCGCCTCGTATATGCCCAACGTCCAGAGCCCGCTTCGACGCCTCAGAGAAACAAAGATGTAAGCCTTGTTAGGGAAAAGTAAGGCTTAAGCCTTTCAGGCGGTTACCGTACGCACTTGCGCCTTAGCGCCTCAAATGCGTAAAGGCTAAATGCCTTTTAAAACCATGACCACACCACATCCGCCCTCCGCCACACCTCCTCCTGTAAGTCACCCGAGCGTCGTCGCTGCGATCCCATTACATCCAACCAACGTTCTAAAAATCAGCCTAGTCGACCCTAACTGTAGAATCGGTCTAGTCGGCCGCCTAGGTGTCCCACCACCAGCCAATTGGCATCTCCTGACCTTTTCCAACCCATCCCCAACTCCCCACTCACTGTTTCCCTACTCGCCCCACAACTGCAGCTCCACCACCCCCATTCCCTAAACCACAATTGTCCCCCCTGCACACTACCGTTGTTGTCCACCCCTCCTAATCACCGCACATCACCCCACAACTTAGACCGCCCAATCCCTATCATAACCGCAACAATATACCTGAATCCAAATCCCTAACACTCACAAACCCTAACCCTCGGCTACCTTTGACACATGAATGGAAACGACGACTTCAATTCACCTCCCCACGACCAGACAGAAAAAGAAGAAAAAGCGTACAATGAGGGACGAGAGTGTCTGCGTCGGCGAAGGCGAGAGCAAGAGGTGTGGCGGTGAGGGAGGAAGCGGGGACAAAGTTGTAGAAGTTCATGGCTCACAATAGCTATAAAGTCATTCCAAGGCCTCATCGTTAGCGAGACTATCAATCGCCGATCTTCGATCATTGATCTTCTCACCATCGCCAAGTCCGCTCGTTGCACGCCCATGGGTGGGTGCGGCGTGGGATGGCTTCAGTGGTGAAGAAGATGACCTGGGAGAGTGCGTGCGGCTCAGGAGAAGTGAACGGGAACGACTAGATAGGAATAAAAACATTCCAAACTTTTCAAATCATTTTTATCACTTTTTTGTCCTAGTGAAAATTGGTCTTATTTTTGTCTATTAGAATTCTAGAAATAATATTTAGGCCTTTCTTTCTCTTAATTCTTTGAAACAAAAAAAAAAACACTTTTAAAGCATTTATATATAAACATATAAACACTACTCCCTCCGTCCCAAAATTAACTTCTCACTTTTCTTTTCGGGCAGTCCCGAAATTAACTTCACACTTCAAAACTTTCCTTATTTGGCAAATAATCTACATAAAAAAGTGCCAAACAGTGTCAAACAGTGTTTAAATAGTGCAAAACAATACACTCCACAGTAAAGTCAAATTTATTTTCTTAATATGTGTGAAGTCAAACTGAGAAGTTAATTTTGGGACGGATGGAGTACTTATAAAGGGGAGTAGGTTTTTTGTATGTCAATCTCAATTAGGTTTTTGTGATGGGCCGGTCATCAGCTGGTTAGCGCCAGGGTACGAGCCGATAACCCCGGAGCCGGCTTAGTGGGCCCAAGCCAAATTACTGAGAAGCCGTACGAGAGGACTCTTATCGATAAGCCCCCCGTCGTATATGTGATAAGCCAATCTACTTATCTATATCTATGACTTGCCATTTCATTTTCATTTAAAATCACTACAAAATACTGTCCTGAGTATAGATTAGAGAGAGAAAGTTGAGAAAGAGGGGGGAGCAGAGCTCTGCCTTGAGCTCCGGCGTCTCTGCATTATCAAGAGATTCAGGGATTGATCCTATTCTTCCCCATCTACTTCTTCGATCTCTCCTCTCTGGGGGTAAGCCTATACCCCCAACCAAACAGCCCCCCATCTATGTGTGCATTTGGCATAGTTTAATTATTCTTATTTTGTTATTTACTGATTTGTGCTTCGCTTTTATTTCCGTCTCTCTCTCAAGCAGGTATATCAGATACTTGCCTTTTAGGCTTTTCTCTCTCTAAATTTTATTTATTATTTTCCCTTTTTTCCCTGCACATTTGATTCCGATTGCTTTCATGTCTCTGAATGCTCTACATGGGCATTGGAATAGAGGGCATTGAATGGAAAGGAGTGATCTTTCTTCTTGTTAGATTAGATTGGAGATTCTAAGTTCACTTCAACTATCCAATCTACCTGGGTTTGACTCCCTCTCTGTTTTCTCTCTCATTGAAGGATTAGTTCTATTTTGGTACAGTACAGTTTTATGGTGCTTTAAGCCATAATTAACTGCTTTCATAGTATACTAATGATTCAATAATTAAAGTCATCTCCTTTCCTTGTATATCATTATCAATTAATTGATAAATTAATTCCTTTGGACTTTTAATTTGTAGATCTGGAAATATATGCTATAATGTCATCTCTCAGCAGAGAACTTGTGTTCTTGATCTTACAGTTTCTAGATGAGGAGAAATTTAAAGAAACTGTCCACAAGTATAAGTTTTTTTTTTGAAAATATTATAATTTTGTTAATAATTGGTATTTTTATACTAGCCTAACATTGTTAAGTTTGGGATTTTGAAATAATAGGCTTGAACAAGAGTCTGGGTTTTTCTTTAACATGAAGTATTTTGAGGATGAAGTGCACAGTGGAAATTGGGATGAGGTTGAGAAGTACCTTTCAGGTTTTACCAAAGTAGATGATAATCGGTATTCAATGAAAATCTTCTTTGAGATAAGAAAGCAGAAGTATCTTGAAGCATTGGACAAGTAAGTTTTGTTTGATTTTAGATCATTTCTCATTTTTAATGCTTTACAGTATGATGATATAAAAGTTATTTTTTAAATGGGTTGACTGTAATATCATGTGAATTTGTAATACATAGGCGTGATCGGCCCAAGGCAGTTGAAATTCTTACAAAGGATCTTAAAGTTTTTGCATCTTTTAATGAAGAGCTGTTTAAGGAGATAACCCACCTATTGACGCTGGAGAATTTCAGGTACCTTATTTTGCCGGTTATGTGTATCATTTGGACAAGCAAGAGAACATACTTATTTGGCTAAAATGGGGTTACCAAAGCACCAAACTTTGTTCAACCACAACGACAACATCCAAGCCTTAGACCCAAAAGATTTTGGAGTTGTCTAACATGAATCGATACATGATATCAGAGCCAAAAAGAAAAAAAAGACAAGAAAGATAAAAAGATAATGTATGATAAAAAAGATAAAAAAGATAAGATGACGATAAATATAAGATAAAGATAAAAAGAATAAAAAGATTCAAAAGAACATACTTTGTATATAAAATAAAATGACAAAAGGATAAAGAACATAAGAAAAATAAAGAAGATAAAAGGATAAAAAAGATGAAATGAGATCAATCTTCCACACGAATATCCGCCCTCCATTTTGCTCTCTACAAAGCCATACTCTCATCCAATCCAAGAAGAAGCATCTCACTCAAACTACTAAACTTTGTTCCTTTCAGAAAATTCAATTATTTAAGCCAAATACCCCTTTCCCAACGGCCCATAGGGATGGTTCTAGATGCATTTTTGCATCTTTTGATGTGGTCTCACCTTGTTATTGTTGAGCACACACACTTCAGTACATGCTCCAAGGGTGGGGGATTTTGTGACATTTCTGATCTGCTGTGTTGTATGGTTAATAAGTTGTTTAACAATTTCTATCCATTTTGGTTAGGGAGAATGAACAATTGTCAAAATATGGAGACACGAAGTCTGCCAGAGCGATAATGTTGGTTGAACTCAAGAAACTCATTGAAGCAAACCCTTTGTTCCGTGACAAATTGCAGTTTCCTGGCCTTAAAAATTCTAGATTGCGAACCCTCATCAACCAGAGGTGAGACCTTTTGCTTCCTTTGAAGCTTCTCTTAATCTGACAAACATTTTTATGAAATGCCAAAACAAATTGAATGTATGCAGTAAAGGTAAGTCCATATGGCGTATTTTGACTTTCAGACTGTACTTTTATGAGCTGGATGTGGAACTGGCATTTTTTTTGGCTTTCAAATGACAATATGGGAATTCATTTGCTTCAAAATGATGCAGAAGAAAAGAGAATGTACTGAGTACCATATATTCTAAGCTACCCACACTTTGTTTGATTGTCTAAAACAAGCTGTCATGGAAAATGTTTTCATAAACAATAAGTTATTCCATTATATAATGTTTATTATGCAGAAACATATAATTGTATATTTAAATGATACAAATATGTATGTTCTTCAAAATGTAGCATATGAGTATATTCAGGATCTGGTCAGATTGTCGCGAAAAATGTCATTTTAGATCATAAGTTATTCCATTTTTAACATTATGGTTAACACACAAAAACAGGAAAAAGTCAAATTGCGTCAAGAAAGCGATTTCTTCTTCTGAAAAGAGGAAGTCATTTCCCACAAAGTTTTCAGAATCATGGAAAAATAAGGAAGTTTTTCCCAGTGCCAAATACATGAAATTTTGTAAGCTGTTTTCCCTTCATAGAAACAAACAGAGCCTTAGGATGATAATTTCAGTTCTATCTGACACTGTCCACAAAAATGCAGTTTAAATTGGCAGCACCAACTATGCAAAAACCCGCGGTCAAATCCAGATATAAAGACGCTTTTTGTTGATCACGCTTGTGGGCAACCAAATGGCTCCCATGCCCCGTCACCTGCAAACAACCATTTACTTGGACCTGTACCAAAACCTGGAGGCTTCCCGCCTCTTGGTGCTCATGGGGTTGGACTCTCTAATGCTACCATCTCATTTAATTATGTGATTTAACATAATGAAACACAAACTTCCATCCAATGCTTACTTTATTTTGCTCTCCTTATAACAACAGCCTTTCCCGCCTGCACCCACACCCGTTCCTGCTCCACTTGCTGGTTGGATGTCCAATCCACCCACGGTGAATCATCCAGCTGTTTCTGGGGGACCCATGGGCTCTGCAGGACCTATGGGCCTCACCGCTTCATCCATTCCAGGTGCCATTAATTTTTCTCATCACCTTCTTATACTCTATCCTCTCTATCCTTTAGTATAGGGGTAAGACTACACACATCCGACCCCCCTTACCCCACCGTAGGTGGGAGCCTTTGCGGCACTGGGTTAATGATGATGAATGAATGAACCTTCTTATACTCTATCCATCAATTAATAAGTCCAACTTGGCCAATATAGTTTTCAATAAGGTACAAGCTTTTATAATCAAACTTACATTTTTTAGTTGGTTCACGACCTTTACTCTTTTGGTAAATTATTATATGTAGTACAAAAAGTAGTTTTGTTTAATGAAACAGGACATCTCTTTTTCAGGACTGAGTGGGTATTTGTATCATTAAATTTTGTGTTGAGACTTTCAATATGAGAGAAGCAAAATTGTAAATAAGTAATTCAGTAACTTTAGGAGTTATTCTACTTTTAGTATATGCCAACTATTATTGTTTTGATGTACATTTGGCAAAGGATTGTGGTTCTTATATTTTTTCAGTTTAGTGGACAAACCCTTATCTGGTAGGATAAATGTATTTAACTCTAATAATTTATTGAATCATGGCTTAGTGGAGAGACAAATATAGCATAAAATTAAAATAGAAATATCTATGCTTTTGCTTGATATAATCTTTTGAAAAGTGAGTGTTTCATTGATCAACACACAGCTGCTCTCAAGCATCCAAGGACCCCATCAACAAATCCGGTTGATTATCCATCTGGGGGGGATTCTGATCATGTCAGTAAAAGAACAAGGTCCTTGGGAATTAGTGACGAGGTAGATTGATCTCCCATCGTTATATCATTCAACTCTAAATTCTCAGGCTATGTTTGGAACTTAGAAGATGTTAGAGGAATGAAGGGAATGCTAACAGGGAAAATAGGGTTTTAGTGCCGCGCGCGTTGCTTCACCTTCGAAAGAAAGATATCAAATTCGGTTAAACTTTATACTTTTTTACATATATTTAGATTTTTTAGTCTTATTTCAATAGCAATATATACAGACACACACACATGGGTTTTAGCAATATCTAAAATTTATATACCGACAGACAATTTTTTAAATTCCCTCCACATTTTCTATTATTCTAAAATTCCTTCATCTTCTCTTCATTGAGCATTTTCCTAGTTCCAAAGAGACTTAACATATTTAATTTATTTAAATAGTCAATGTGTTTTGAGTTCAGTTATTATGGTCATAGGTTAACCTTCCCGTAAATGTGATGCCGGTGTTCCCGGGGCACGGTCATAGCAGCAGCCAAGGGGGTCACAGCAGTGCACACGATGATCTCCCGAAGACCGTAGTGAGAACACTTAACCAAGGCTCATCTCCTATGAGCATGGATTTTCATCCCGTTCAACAGACATTGCTTCTAGGTTTGTACCTTCCAAATATTAATCTGACTTCTAGATTTGAATAGCCAGTTTTGTAATAGATTATAAAATGAAAATGTATAACATATTTAGTATGTATTGTGTTTATGATCTCAATCTAATAATAATAATAGCAATATTAGAACTGTGATGAAGAAATAAAATTCTATATTTATCCTTCCTTTTTTAGAATACCAGCAGTAAGCGAATAAAATACATAAAATAGATTGGTAATATTAATATAAATTTGGAAGTCCTAGCTGAACACTCTACTATTATAGGAACACATCTAAATATATACTCTTAATTTCTTAAATGAACTTAAAGCTCTTAGTAACAGTCGTATATTGAAACATGAGGACTCCACACTAAAATTTATTGCTCTTAAAAGTGGTTTTTGTGTAGAATGATGTCTTGAAATAAAATCTCTGGTAGTTTCATGAGTCAAGTGAGTAGTTCAATTGAGTAAAAAAAACTGTTGCAATATAATAATATAACTAATAACTAGCCGCGTCGTCCCCTGCCTCGCTGGCCGCACTGTTGCAGGTGTGGGGCAGCAGGTCGAGGGTCTGCCACTCCTCTTCTGACGGTAGATGGTGCGGCAAAGGCTGTAGCCCCAGCAGAGGAATCCTGACTTCGGGAAAATAACACTCTCTGTTCTTGATGGACCAACTTTCTACGTAGAGTCAAACGTGAGACATCTGGGAAAGGGTAAGAGTAGTAACCAGAGACTCATATTCTGGACCTAATCCCAAATTGGTATGTTGAAGAAGGTCAGTAGGAGAGGAGAGACTGGAGAATTTATGGCTGCAAGAGCATCAACAATGACCTGGATCTCAAGTAAATAATCTTCCATAAGCCGATTATCCTTCTTTTTAATGTGGGACATCATACGTTTTAATTCCATAGATCTAGCCAAACAAGCAGACATAAAAAGGGATTCCAATCGTTCCCATATAGCAGCATGATTTTTCAACGCATGAACCTCAAGTAAAATATTCCAGAAAAGGGTAGCAAAAATACAGGAACAAACAGTTTGATCCAATTCTAGCCAGTGATAATATTTAGAGTTCATGGTTTGGGTATGGTAAACATCATAAACATAAACATATAGAGAAGGAGCCGGAAGTGTACCATCTACGATGCCCAAAAGGCCATGAGAGACCAAAAAGGATTCAAATAGCGTACGCCAGGTCAAGTAGTGTTCAACAACAACTACATTGGTGGTGACTATATTAGCGATGGATGGAGTCCCAAACCCCATTGATTGAGCCATGGAAGCAAAAGACGTCGGGATGGGCGTAGCTGGTGCTGCACGACTGCCAATAGTTTTGACTCAGGATGACGGCAACACGTCGGGTGAGCCAGAAAGTGTGGGCCCAGTGAACTGTTCCTGGCCGACTTGGTGCGTGAGACGATCGGAAATAAAAGTGTTGACTGAAGCTGCGGCGGCGGTTTCCGATGGCAACGTCGGCGTCCACATGAATATAGGCGGTGACCAAGACGTTGATGCTCCAGAAGTAAAGCCCGGTGAACTCAAAGGCATTGACAGAGAGGCCGTGATCTGCGATGATGAGCTAGATGGTGATGAAGAGGCCGCGCTCTGGCCCAGAGGGTTCATTGGAACCATTTTTTTTTAATTGTGACTAAAACCTAAAGCTCTTGATACCATGTGAGAATAATGGAAAGGCTTACTAGACTGGTAGCCCTGAGTATCGTATATATAATAAATAAGGAGTCCAAGTTACATTAGAGTTCCTACTAAAAGTAGCAAAACTATAAAAGGTATAAAATACATTATTAGTATCTTGGTTTAAGAATTTGAGTTAAACTTATATACTGTGTTTTGTGCATCAGTTGGAACCAATGTTGGAGACATAGCGTTGTGGGAAGTTGGTTCACGGGAGAGATTGGTTTTGAGAAACTTCAAGGTCTGGGATTTGAGTGCATGTTCAAATCCCTTGCAGGTTTTTTTTTTTTTTTTAATCTAATATTAATAGTGATTAACATTTATGCAAATACTCAAATCAATTCAGATCTATTTTTTGTTGAATTTTCTCTAAATTCAGACAGCCCTGGTTAAAGATCCTGTTGTCTCTGTTAATTGCATAACTTGGAGCCCGGATGGCTCATTATTTGGTAAGTCTTGGTATATAATTCATTCAAATAAGTTTAAATTTTAGGGTGGGTTGAAAAACCAATTCATTCATATAGTTTAATATTTTAATATTTTAATATAGTGAAAACTTTTACACATAGGTAAAAACTCTATCTGTCCCAAAAACAAGTTTCAGGTTTGACCTATACATATCTATGCAAGATGATTTTTTTGGACTTTCAATGTATACCCTAACTTTATTTCAATTCAAAGGATACCAATGACATCTCCCCATTAAAATTTTTCTTTTAATAGCAGTGGGAACTTCATTTAGGGTCATCTAATTAAGGAAAGTGGGAACTTGTTTTTGGATCGGAAGTAGTAGTTTTATTGCTGAGCTTAGGTGGGTTGCAGCCCGGGTTGCTAATGTTAACAATGAGGTGGACTACACATTTCATTCATAATAGATGTTTTTTTGTAACTACGCTGTGCAGGGGTTGCATATTCGAGACATATTGTGCAAATATATTCTTATCATGGAAATGATGATGTGCGCCAGCATCTGGAGGTAATAAACTCGCGTGCTGCCACTTTACCCACTAATATATCCTATGCCCAGTTATTTTGTCACACTTCATTTGAGAAGTCCTAGTTTGGTCAGGGTATTTTGGAGTGGAGTGAAGGTGTGTGTGATATTTATTTAATTATTGATTGATTTCATAGCTGTCATGGCATGGTGTATGAAGACAGTCAATGAGGATGAGCCAGTTTCTCGTGGTGATGGTGACCATGCATTTATGGTGTTAGTGCATTCACATGACACAAAAATTAACAAGTACATTTGAACTATAAATAATAAAGCTCTACTATCCAACCACCAATGAGTAAAAGAGAAAAATAATTGAGTTCTAACCAGAATATACTTTTAGTCAAGTTCGAATAGCATACAAAATAAAAAATGACTTAATAACAAATAAAGAGGGTGAAGCTTCCAAAATATGTGAGTTTGTAGGCCAACTATTATGATCTAATCATTATCATTTCTTGTCATCATCTGCATCTGAATTTGAGAAGAATAACTCTTTATCCTCATTCAATTCGTGTTGCTCCTCTGCTGTTACTTGGTTGTTGTGCAACTTCTCTGATTTTTGTGCAGTTGCATAGCTGTCACAAATTAACAAAGATGAAGCTTGGGTTCAAATATCCCAGTACTTGCAACATGTTTGGCCTAGTATGGTTGGGTACTTGGGTAGTAGGGTTCTTTTTACTTATATTGCGGGCTGAGATTGACCGGTCAGTGAATAATTAGGTCCCAAGCTCCAACAGTAGTTAAATTAATATGCAAACAATTGAGGATAGATTTGTGGCTCATATGGTATGCTGATGGCACATAAATTGCACCATCACAGTAATGTTTAATGTTGGTCGCCATGTTGCATTTCTATGGCTAAGAGAGCTTCAAACGCCATTGGCTATTTATGGCTTGTGCTGATAAGCCACTGAAGACTGATTCTCGCCGGAAGAAACAACTCTTGAAAGGCAGTTGAAGTTGTTGCTATGTTTCAGCCCTTAATTGAAGTTTGTTATCTTATATTTATCTTTATCCTTATCTTATCCTTTTTATCTTACCCTATCTTTGTATCTCTCTGATCTTTCTTTTCTTTTCTTTTCTTTTCTTTTCTTTTCTTTTCTTTTCTTTTCTTTTCTTTTCTTTTCTTTTCTTTTC